AGATAAGCAAAAAAGTCCCCACATAATCTCCTGCAGCCCACAGGCTGTGGGTTGGACACCCATTCTAGACTACCCATTAGGTGAGTTTTTAATGTGGGGACTTTCTGTTTTAGGAGAAGTTATTGGGTTTCCACCTAGTTTTTCATCTTCAACGTGTGAGCTCAGAAACCCTTCCTTCAACTGGATACCTCTGTTTAAGAATCATCTCTGCTATTATAAAACATTCCTCTAGGTGGCACCATTCGCAGCTCCCTCTGCCTGCTTCTCTTCCTCACAGAGCAAGTCCACTTTATTTCTTGGCCAGACACCTGTGCCAGCAGTATTTGCACAGAGCACCTCTTTCCTATCTTTTATAGGATCTTCAGGCTGATTTCTAAATGATCTTTTGGGTGACCATCATGTGCCTGCTATACACCGTTGGGATGATTTGAATGATAGCTTGGATAGCTGCCCCTGCCTCCAAACTCTGTTAGCAATCCATTTTCTATACTGTGGTTTAGCAGTGAGTGCTTCTCATTTTGTATTGTTTGTTCTTTTATGCATGTGGAAATAGAGTACAAAGGCTTTAAGGGCCTTATATGCTGCAGGCATCTGGCATAATACACAGCCTGTGACAGGCACAGTCTGCAAGCGTGTGTGTCCGTGATGGAGCTGGTGGCATTCTTTTATTCTTTCATCACTGAGTTATCTGTTTTAGGCTCGGCAGTCTTTATGCAAACAGTTACGAAAGACAAGGTCCCTACTCTCAAGCAACTCCTAGCTGAGAGAGGAAAGGAGTCGTCGGGGGGAGAGAAGAGAGAGATAGTAGACAATTACAGTGGTATAATGCACACTATGAAGCAGCTATGGTAAGTGACGCTGGGAACAACAGAGGTGACCTCTGTTGTCTGTGTGTTGATTGTCCCCACAGGATTTTCCTTCTCCAGGATGTTCTTTTAGAAGAGCACTGGCTTTCCACTCTTTGTAGAATCGTTTGTTGAGACCTACCAGTGGTTGTCAACCTATGGGTCACAATCCCCCCGGGGGTTGAACGACCCTTTCACAGGGGTCACCTAAATACATCCTACATATCAGATATGTACATTACAATTCATAACAGTAGCAAAATTACAGTTACAAAGTAGCAACAAAAATAATTTTATGGTTGGGAGTCACCACATGAGGAACTGTAATAAAGGGTCGCAGCATTAGGAAGGTTGAGAACCACTGCCTTACACTGTTTTTCTTTCCCAGTCACCTTTTGGTGACAGGGTGATGATTGTGGGGGTAGGTATGTGTCTCAGGACATCATAAGAAGAGTAATAATCGTCCCATTTTTCTCTGGAGTTCAATGCTCCCAGGGTTTTGTGGGTTGCATTTTGGTTATCTATAATTACCCTTGAATTCTCAAAATAGTTTACTATCTCACAGTCTGGGGGTGATTTGGAATTGCTGATTTACTTTTACATGGCATAGATACATATTCATTAAAAACCTTTTCATTCTTTAGGATGCATCCAAATCCCCCTTTCCTGAAAAATCTTTTCCAATTCTCACAAACAGAATGAATGATTTCCTCCTTTTTATACCTTTACACCCTTACTTCTACTCTAACTTTAATACAAATTGATTTCATTTTATCTTTTATTATAGCTGTTCAGAGCCTCATTATAAAACTACTGAGGACAAGGCCTGTATTTTATTCATTTTAGTTTCTCCCTCTTCCAGTACCTTTACTTTAGTTGTCTATATGTAGGAAACAGCAAATATAAATGTTGATTTAATGAATTGGGATTTTGTAACATGATCTGTGTTTAATTGGACATTTTAGAGTATATGATTCTAGAACAAGGTCAATAACGTTGGTAGTTTGTACATGGCTTTATAATATTTGTTTGAATTAGGTTATAGGAGTATTTGCTTGGCAAATGTGGCCCAGATAATACTTGGTTTTTGGATAGATCCGGGCTCAGACTTGGAATTTTCTTTTCCTGTTTCCTTCTTGACATCCATATATGGTTTCATCACTGTAGAGTGTTAATTTTTACTTCCTGCTTTCTTCCTAATACTTGAAATATCCTCATATTGATTTGTTGTATCCATTCAAATATCTGCTAAGTGCCAGATGTGTCCCGGATGCTCGATTACAAAACAGACTTTGTATCTACAATAGGCTAAAACAGTCCAATTCCTTGCATCAACTAATAGATCAATTCAGTCACAACATATTACCTGATAGTCTGATGGTGTATTTTTTTATTTTTATTTTTTTAGAGATAGAGTCTCACTTTGTTGCCTTCAGTAGAGTGCTGTGGTGTCATAGCTCACAGTAACCTCTAACTCCTGGGCTTAGGCGATTCTCTTGCTTCAGCCTTTGGAGTAGCTGGGACCACAGATGCCTCCCATCTAACATCTGGCTATTTTTTGTTGCAGTTTGGCCGGGGCCCTGTTTGAACCTGCCACCCTTGGTATATGGGGCCAGCGCCCTACCCACTGAGCCACAGGCACCGCCTGTGATGGTGTATTTTGAAAGACATTTTCAAGTCTCAGAAGATCCTAGTCTAGGAAATCAGAGATTTTAAGCCTCTTGGATGTCATTTGGTTTTCCAATGATTTATGCCTTTTCCAAAACTCATATCTGTAAGTATAAACTTCTATTTTTTTCCTTAAGCCATTTTAGATTTCTGCATATTGAATTTCAAACTTTAACTTCCTTAGTTGCTTAGTTTTAAATTTTAATTTCACAGCAAGTCTAGTGGCTCTTTGTATACACATAAAAGGGGTGAGGTTTGCCCTTTGCTCTCCTGGTCAAAGTGAAATTTAATCATTTTCTAGGCTGAATATCTTCTTCTTTTTTTTCTTTTTTTGAGACAGGGTCTCTGCCACCTGGGCTAGAGGCAGTAGTATCATCATAGCTCACTGCAACCTTGAACTCCAGGGCTCAAGTGACAGGCCTGCGCTGATTATTTTTTAGGATATTTTTGGGAGAGATAGGGTCTTACAATATTGCCCAGGCTGGTCTTGAACTCCTGGCCTTGAAGTTATCCTCTTGCTTTGGATTCTCAAAGTGTTAGGATTTCAGGTGTGAGCCAGTGTGTCCAGCCTGAATATCCTTTTGAAAAGAGAACCCAAAATACAGATTTTCTTTTCTTGATCTAAGTCTAGGCTGAGATGGGAAGAGGACCGGGGACTGGGAGGGGGTAAAAGGGAACTCTGGGTAAATGAAAGGAAGTCACACACCTGTTGTCCAAGAACTCTGTGTGAATTCTTGATCTGTAGCAATAGCACAGTCACGACCTTACTTTACACTCTGCATCAGCAGGCTGCAGCGGAGACATCTCAGAGAAAACATAAAACGTGAAAAAGCAATTCTCTTCCTAAAAGACAATGTTCTCTGAAGACCTCAGGTTCCATTAAGGCAGGAAGCAATATGAGTTTCACTTCTTGTAGTTACTAGACCAAATGAAAGCCGAATTAACAATTTTTTTTTTTTGCTATTTGTCAGTAGTTTATCACAATGAAGTATGCAAACATCATTTTAAAGTTAACTGCCTCAATCGAAAATGGAAAACCAAAAAACAGAATAAAATTTGCTGGGCGATCTAAGTTTCCCCGTTTTTCCATTTTCTTCTTTCCTTTTCCTTTATTATACAGTATTTCGCCTTTTCCCAGATGTCATCCATAATTCAATCTCATCTAGAAGGGTAAATTCGATTACTTTGGCTGTTAAATAGCGTGTCCTTTCTTTAAAAAAAGAGAACTTGTAAAAAACAAAACCGAAAACAACCTCAATGGCATGAAAAGTTGGAACCTATCAGGAGACGCTTAGAAACTTGGGCGGCTTCATTTTACTGCTCAGGATTTAGATTTCTACCCCAAGTTACTCTGCGGACAGCGTCGTGTATTGGTCGCCCCCTCCCCTCCCAGAACCAGCGACGGTTCCTTCTCTTCCCCGGTCGTCCCCCACGGTGGAGAGTAGATTCTTTTCTAACACTGAACAGGGGTCAGAGGTGACTCGAGGGTTTTAACCTAATGGCGTTTTAGAAACAGGGGCAATGCATAAGTGGGCGAAGAGCGGCCCCGCGGAGC